TCTTTGTTCTCCAGCTCTAGATGCCGACACGTCCGACTGGGCACAAGTCATGAGTGTGAATGTGGCTGGATACTCGAATATGGTACAGGCCTGCTTCCCTCACATGAAGACAGGTAAAATACACATCTCTCCTCCTCTTAGGCCTCCTTCTCCTCTCTCTCTCTCTCTCTCTCTCTCTCTCTCTCTCATCCTCTGCATCTCTCTCTCTCTCTTTTTCCCACTCTCTCCCCTCTATCTCCAACTTATGCGAGTGTTAGCATGAATCCTTGCTGTCCACCGTAATAACAACAAAATCTACATCGTGCACCCTTAGCACTGGACGGCGTCCTTTTTGCGTCCTTTGTGCGACCATTAAACTGGCCAGGTCGCCATTGAACGCTCAAGGAACGCACGGTCATCGCTTGGATCGCGCAGACGCCATGGTCACCGCAGTTTTGGGTATGTTCAAAACGATCGCACATAGAACGATAGTCGAGCGTTGACCTTGCGTCTTGCATTGACCACATTTTTGATCGCAGAAGGAACGCAGAAAGGACGCCGTCCACTGATAAGTGGCCTTTACTCCAAATTGAAAACAAGTTCTCTCCATCGAAAAAAGTTAAAAAGTCAACATTCCATCGATCTCCATATCTGAAATTTATCATATTTTAGCAGTTCGTACAGTACTTAAGCAGTATTTCACTGATAATTTATCAATAAAGCCGAACCTGACGCCAGATCAGTCGTCAATATAGCCAGTGTCCTCAGCCATGTGGCATCGGCCAGTAAGTGGACGTACTGTACCAGTAAAGGTGCCGTGCTGGAGCTGACCCGGTGTATGGCACTGGACTTGGCCAAAGATGACATACGGGTGAACTCCGTGTCACCGGGATCAATAAATACAGCAGCGGTAAGTGTGTGTGTGTCTATGTGTGTGTGTGTGTGTGATAGAGAGAGAGAGAGAGAGAGAGAGAGAGAGAGGGAGAGAGAGGGGTATCAGAAAATTCACAGATATCTTGAAATTTGATTGAATAAATGCTTAATAAGTTGAGCTGAAGAGAGAATGTCATGGTTTTAACGCTGATAATCAAAATCCATATTAAAGCAGTGCGGAGCAGAAGAAAGAATTAAAACACTACCAAAATAATATCATTCATATTACAGCTCGCAAACTTTTTCGCAGGCGATGAAGACCAAAAGAGGTGGTTCGAGGGATGTCACATGATGAACCGAATCGGAGCATGCGCAGAAGTTGCTGCCGCCATTGCCTTCCTCTGCAGCAGAGACGCATCCTTCATCACGGGCGCCGAACTCCCGGTAGATGGCGGGTTCACGGCAGTAGGCCCAGAAAGGCATGGGAAAGAAGGAGCCAAGTTTACGGGCACGATCCCAGAGTAGATGCTGCGGCCGTCCTTCACTTAGAACTAGGCCAAGTTTCACTGTCCAGTGGCCCAAATGGTTCGGACCACGTGCCCATTGCCCTTCCATTTTAGAAAATAGGGGTGAAACATCTTGCGACACCACGTAATTAAATAGTTGGTAGAAAATGGATAGAAATGCGTCAATAAAATATCAGGTCCTTTAATATTTAATGCCTCACACAATATGTATTGGATTTATTTTAAATAATCCATTTTACGCTCCCTATACGTATGTACTTTTACAGCCAATAATGCACTGCTTTTACGTACTGTATTTTATTGTTAATTGAACCATGCTGTGTATTGAGATGTGTTAAAGTAAAATGCCAAATAATACCAATAGTAATAATAGTAGCCGTGAAATTTTACAGTCTCTTTGAGGTGTTTATACTGTCACCTAGTATTTCAGAGATTTACGATTTTTGATAGTTGTATTTAGGCTTTATCTAGACCCTATGTTGTTGCTCAAGCTCTTCAAAAGACAGTTCAGAGATAATCCTATATTAAAAGGGTGTAAGAGAGAGAGAGAGAGAGAGAGAGAGAGATGTGTGTGAAGAAGCGGGGGGGGGGGGGGCTTA